ATCGCCCTAGTTGCGAGGTCAGCTGCTGCTGGTCAAGAACCCCTCGATTCAGAGAAGCTAATTTTCCTTTCAATGTAGACGAATACCCTCTGCTATACAAGAATGTAGATGAGAGTGCGCTTTATGACCAGAGGAGCTCGAAACACATTCGTAATGATATGAGTCCACGATCAGAAAACCCTAGGAGTCTGAGTCAGAAATTCAGGCCAAAATCTTTTAATGAATTAGTGGGACAAAATGTAGTAGCGATGTCTCTTTTGGGAGCTATCGCTAGAGGGAGAATAACCTCATTCTATCTATTCCATGGCCCTCGTGGTACAGGAAAGACATCTGCCTCAAGGATTTTTGCTGCAGCACTAAATTGCCTTTCACATGAGGAGCATAGGCCATGTGGTCTCTGCTGTGAATGTGTTTTGTATTTTTCTGGAAGGAGCAGGGACATCAAGGAAGTTGATTCTGTGAGAATCAATCGGAGAGACAGGGTTAGATCCCTTATTAAGAATGCAGCTACTCCTCCACTTTCGTCACGGTTTAAGGTTTTCATTATTGATGAGTGCCACCTGATGCGCGGGGAAACTTGGGCAACTGTTTTGAATAGCATAGATAACCTTTCTCAACATGTTGTCTTCGTGATGCTCACTCCTGATGTCGATGAGCTTCCCCGAAGTGCAGTGTCACGGTCTCAAAGGTTTCACTTTCCAAAGATTAAGGATGCTGATATTGCAAGCAGATTGGGGAGAATCTGTGTTGAAGAGGGTCTTGAATTTGATCAGGGTGCTGTAGACTTCATTGCTGCCAAGTCAAACGGTTCACTTAGGGATGCAGAGATGATGCTTGATCAGCTAAGTTTGCTTGGTAAAAAAATCACAATGGGCCTGGCATACGAGCTTGTAAGTTCTTGGCAACTGTTTTTATTCATTATTTACGTTTATGTAGCACACTCTATTTATCCAATACTTACATGAGAATTTCTGTTTTGTTGTTATGCAGATTGGAGTTGTCTCGGATGATGAATTACTCGGTTTGCTAGATCTGGCATTGTCATCTGACACTTCTAATACAGTAATAAGGGCCAGGGAGTTGATGAAATCTCAGATTGATCCCATGCAACTGATATCACAGTTGGCAAATCTTGTTATGGACATTCTTGCTGGTAAATGTCAGGACAATGCTTCTGAAGTCCGAAAAAATTTCTGCAGTAGACACACATGTAAGTAGTCTAACATTGCACGTGTAATATTGTCGCTTAGTACTTACTCTCACTTAGTACTTACTCTCCAAAAGCTCCATCAGAAATCTATACAGGAAATGATAGTTTTTTGAGGATGATTTTTAGACCCAAAATTTTGTTTATTTTGGTTTTGATTAATGGTGAAGTAAATTAATTATTAATGGTTTTTCTCAGTGTCCTCATAGATGAACCAAGTACTACTTGGAACTTGTTACAAGGAGTCATCTATGATCTATCTTATATAAATTTCTCATGCATTGTCCTCATAAGTTAATATTTCAATATGCCTATTATTTCTTCGGTGTATATGATGAATCTGTTTTAAAAATGTTTGTTGGTTAGAGTGGTCATCGTGCCTACGTTATGTCTACTGCTGTTAATTACTCTGTCATCTCATGATTATATGCTTATACTAAGGTGGTTGTCTCAATTTTCTTCTTTGCAGCTGAAACGGACTTGCAGAAACTGAGCTATGGATTGAGAATATTCTCTGAAACTGAGAAGCAATTAAGGGTGTCCAAAAATCAAGCGACATGGCTTACTGCGGCTCTGCTGCAGCTAAGCTCCGTTGAGTCTTCGTCCTTGGATGGAAATGGTACAAAATTGTGTTTGAGAAGTACACAAGAGAGAGGTGAGAATAAGTGTATTAGCTGACTCTGACGAATACCTTACATTTTAATTTCATTCATGGAAAAGGCCTTTCTTTATCCGTAACTTCAACTCGTTAGTTTAGTCGAACTTGCATATCAAGGATATTTTTCCTTGGTTTCTGATATATTTTGTTATTATGGCGGTATATCATCCACAGCAATGGCGGAGAGCTTCAAGAATCGTGCCACTTGTTCATGCAATTTAGAGACACCAGACAAGTTGGGCATGCGGAAGGATAGTGATGGAAAGTTGGAAGCCATATGGAAGAGAACTACAGATTTATGCCGATCCAATTCACTCAAGAATTTTCTTAAGAAACAGGGAAAATTGTCTTCCTTGCTTGTTGGTCAAGGTACATATGTCTACTAGCATCTAGTACATGATCATTAATCGTCAAATTATGGTAAAAACCACATACAAACATATTTAAAAATTAGGGGAGATAGAAATCAGGATGAGCTGGATCAACATCTTTATCTTCTTAATTTGGCTTGTTATATGACATTTGCGTACACGCAAAATGTTCTCATGTTTATAAAAGACGGAAATGGATTTTCTTATGCTCATGTGCACTAACAGAGTAATGCTCAATGTAGGTTTAGCAATAGCTGAATTGGAATTCTGCCATCCCGATTATGTATCTAAGGCTGAGAAGTCATGGAAGATCATTGCAAATTCACTTCAATCTATATGTGGTTGCAATGTGGAGATCAGGATCAATCTTGTACCTTGTGCTTCTGATTCCAAGTATGCGAAAGTGAAGAAGTCATCTTTTACATTGTTCAGCTGTTCCCGCAGAATGCAGCAGAAATCACAATCATCTACAGAACGTGGAACTGAGTCAGACTATTCTGAGCACACTTCTGAAAAGCCTATGTTAAGCGACAGACCTACTTTACCTTGCTCGTCTGAGTGTTCTTATCGAGTGCCACATAACTGCAGTGACAAAATGGTGGTGGTAAGTACTTTGAGAAATAGTGAAGGAAATATTCTCAGCACAAGGACTGCCTCATCCCGCAGATCATTTGAAGATAACACATCAGAGGCACCTGGATTAGTGGTTGATTCTTCGAAGGATGATGGAAGCAATCATGAATGCCATGTTTTATCTTTTGAAAAACCTGAACATCAACCAAACTGTGTTCCTGGAACTTTGAGGCTTCAAAAGAAGTTCCGTTCATCAGATGCTTCTCAGACGACCTGTTGCACCAAACGACAAAACACGATTGCATTATCTAGCCCAAGCAAGACATCTTTTGGCACATGTCTCGTGGGTAATGATTCATATGTTTTCTGCAGCGGCGCTTGTAACAACACTGACAGCTGTATAGATGAGAATGCGTAAGTGTTGCTTTAGTCTTCTTTCTGTATGTTGGTGTCCTTAAACTTTGGGTTTGAGATTCTTCTCGTCTTAATTTCAGATTGAAGGAGAACTCAGGCTTGCTTTGTTGGAGAACCCCAACGCTTCACTTGGGAAAGGTATAGTTAAAAACTAAAGGACTAATCATCTGTTCAATATTTTAAATTTGCTTTTGTTGAAGTTTTAGGACCAAAAACAAAGTTCAAGTTGTTCTTTCACTGCTTAATGACATAAGACCTGACTAATTTGAGTGTTAAATCTGCAGGCTTGGCAGTTGAGACATAACCGACAAAACTCGAACCTAGGGTGTTGGGTTCTTCCCTGTGCAACTGCTAAGTAGTTCTACAAAGGAGTAGTACCTGGCGAAAATAGCCGTAGTTTATGATGGCGGCAGAGGAGCTTGAAGGACATTCATACATGGTATTAGGTCTATATTTTGCAATCTGCAACAGGTGTCATTGATGTTTTGATATTTTCAGGACCCAGATTCAGGGTTTTATATATAATATACCAGCAAGAACTGTTTTTTCTCCGATCTCGTTTGGTTTTGTACAACAGTTGATGGGAGTCAATGTTAAGACTTTCATGAAACGGGTTCATCCGGGTGCTAGACAGTGGCGTCCCGGTCCAATAATGCAAACGCCCATTCCATGAAAGTCGTTCTTCAGTATTGGATTCTCCAATTTATGACTCCGAAGTATTAATCTCAAAAGAAAATAAGCAGTGTATTACCCTGCCTAGAATACTGATGGGAATCATAGGGAGCTTTCCTTGCATAAAATGAAATGTGGATACATGCCTTATCTAAAAGGTAGAAAATAAAGTGCTAACCATACAACCACTGATATTTCGGCTTAGTGGTATTTCTACTTCCAATGCAAGAAGATATCGTTTATTACGGCACCTTCGCCCTACATACATAAAAAAATGGAGGTTTCCAGCCCCTTTTCTATTCAAATGAGGAAATATGAGCACCCGGCCGATGGTAAGGTGCATTTATTTGAATCTCTGTAAAAAAAAGTTTCAGGTACTCACAAATTTGGGTCATATAGGATATAACACTTGGTTTATTGATTCTTGATTGTTAATGCATGTGGGTCTTGCAATGCATCAATAATCTAGATTTGCTTGATTCACCCGCTTGAGCAATTGGACGTAAAAAGTTCCAAAAAATAAAACAAAAATATAACAGGAGAAAAAAATTCCACATAAATGTTTTGTTTATCCCTCGATTCTCCTTTGATCTAGTTATCAAAAAACGGTTTTAGTCCTCCTAAAAATCGAAAGGCTTTTTAGCCAAAATGGTCTTTAAGATTTGCTTAACTCCTCACTTTGGTCCTTGAGATTTGAAATCGATAGAGTTGGTCCCTGAGTTTGTCCACAATCAATCATTTTGGTCATTCCATATAAAATCTCCATAAAATAAGGATAAAATGATAAAAATACCCTCAATTTTTATCAAATCATTTTGGTCTGTTGTTTATTATATTAAGGGTAATTTTGTCATTTTGATCCTTATTTAACATAACTTTTCACCGAATGACCAAAATGATTGACGGTGGACAATCTCAGGGACCACTTCTATTGATTTCAAATCTTAGAGACCAAAGTGACGAGTTAGGCAAATCTCATGGACCATTTTGGCTTAAAATGTCAAATAAAAATTTCAAACAATCCCGTGGATCCAATCAAGTCCAATGGGCCAAAGTACCACGATTAAGCAAGTATTGGACCCAAACGGCCCATAAACCCCCTCCGATTTTCAGTTATCCAAGTTTCGGCTTCTCCGAGACGGCGGAAGGCAGTGAAATCGGGAAGACGAGAGCAGCTCTGGTTTGGGCAAGGCTCGCAGTCAGAGTGAATGGAGAACGTAAACGAGAGTACAAGTGTTCGAGTTCTATGCCCTAAGCTTGTCCTCTGCAAGAACGAAGCGGGCCTCCAATGGCTGATCGGATCCCCATTTTTCCCGCCACTCACAGTCGTCTCCACCGTCAGATGCATCCACACCGATTCCTCCTCTCCAGACTACCGCAGAGAATCAGGTACCTGAATTCTGTTTGTTTCCCGGGAAAATTGAATAAGTTCTATGAATATAGTGTTTCCGAGCAATTTCAGTTCAGAGTTTGATTGGTTTCCGTAACCTGAGCAGAAGAGGTTCGGACGTTACTGTTGAAAGGATTTGAGGTGATCGGGGCACTAATCGTTGCGAATTCCGGTGATGGAAAGAGCGCCGCTGGCGAGGCAATTGCGGCGGCTCGAAGGTTGCGAAAGCTTCTCTCCGGAGAAGGAGGAAAACTGGACAGTCAACAGGTAATTGGAGCTGTTGCGGATTTTAGTGGCGGCGACATTCAGTTTTTCGTGTCTAAATCCGCGAGCTTGACCAGCTTTGAAGCTGTGAATGTATTGTATGAAGATCATCCTGAAAAGTATGTTTGGGAGAGGGGTTGTCTGCTCCGGTGTGAGCTTCCATTTAAGCTCCCAATCTACTATCCGGTAAACATGCCAAATGGTAAGGTTTTTTCGGTGGTGCATTTTCGTAGTTTTGTGTAAACTATCTGATTGAGCATTGGTGCTGGTTCATGCTTTGTAGTTTGTTATATTTGCTAGTGTGATTTGGGTTTCTTGTGGATGAACGAGGGACAGACGGTTCAGAGCAGAAGTAGGAAGTACAATGTAGGAGCTTTTACTTACTAAAATGAGTGCATAACGTGGTTTCTGTAGCATCTTTTATCCGAATCTAGAAATTTAGATTTTCAATGGCTTTTTCGGAGTGGTTGAACGCCAGTTTGTAGTAGAGCGGTAGATTTTCTGGCCTTGATGATTCCATAGTTGACCTTTAATAATGAAGGCTTTGTCGAGTGTCAGTCAACGGAAATATGAGCTGTAATGGTCATATTCGCTTTTCCGTTTTTGCTTTGGACCTTTTCATTCATTTTGAAGTTCATACTTGTGTTTTGATGAAATTTAGCTACTATTTACTCTGTTAGATGAAGAGATCCATGTGGTTCATCGGAAATTGATTTAATGTTTATTTTCGTGTACTATTGAATTAGATTCAGAAAAGATGTTTCGACGTGCAACTGAAGCAGTTATTGCAAAATTCAAAGATCCAAGGGCTGCGTACATGGTAGAAGCATTAAGCAAAACATCTGCTGAAGTACCTCAACCTGTCATCCTCCGCGGTGTAGATTTGGATTTTGACACAGATCTCTCAAATGTCAAAATTTTTGGAGAAAGTGCTCAAGAGTCCGATGCTGATCTTTTGTCATGTTCCCACTTCTGTTTGGATGGTAAAAAAGGTGCACCGGTATATTCTGCTGAGGTAAGAAAAATGAAAGAGATTCATTGCTTATTGAGATCTTGGAAATATTTTATCTTCTGTAGTTTTATTTAATCCTTCTTTCAGCAATAACAGTAAATATTGGAGTTCGATTTTTGAATAGCTTTCCTGCTTAGCATGCAGATAGAATCCAAGTAAGTGTTCTGCTGAATAGTTCAGATAAGTCTGAAAAATCGACAGCCCCCGTTGCTCAATATTTTCCAGGTATTGCTTTCACTCTTAATCATATGAGGTACATATTATACATTTTCGAATATGAAGTTTTCTAGTGGAGATTATATTTCTACTCAGTTTAATGGATTTTAAATTGTGGTTTCAGCTGTGGAAGAAGCCAGAATTTTGGTGGTAGATTTTAAGCTAGAAGTGCTTTGCTATGCGGTCAAGGGTCTCCCGCTGAGGCATGCAGTTTCGAAGTTAATGATCCCGGGGTTGATTGATCAGTTTAATTTAGTGAAAAATACAGTCCTACCCAACCTCTTAGCCAAACATCCTCAGGTAAGGCAAACCATTTCTTTTGTAATATCATATTGATCTCTTGCTATTACTACCCATCTGAATACCTAAAATTCAGAAACATGAGATTATTTATAGTATAAGAGAGTACTTTCTTTTCCACACTTTCTTTCCATGTGCCTATAATTCTGGACTAGCTAGCGCTTAGGTGCCCACACTTGAAAACCTTAAGCTCTATCCGGGCATTCCGTAGTATCCGATGCCAATTCACACAAATGTTGAATAAAAGTCTAATACGGTGATTAATGATTATCGGCACAACCAGACCTAATTTCAAGTAACTATTGGTTTATTGCATTTTCAGCTACATCCGTATCACTTCAGTCCTCCCGGTGTTCTGCATCCAATCACTGTTATCTATGAACTCAACTACGGGGAAACAGAAATGAAGCAAGGTAGGCAGTGGCAACGATTAATTTTTCTACTTTCAGGGAACAATCGATTTATTGAAAGAGTACTAGTTCCAAAACAAAAAGTGTGGATTAGTTTTAAGTGGCTCCCGACTGGAAGTTTAGAGATTGTTCTTTTTTATAATCAAAATAAATACTTACATTTCTTCCATGATTAAAAAGTTGTTTTTGCTTCAGTGCTTGTGAATGTGGAAAAGGTTGTATTATTTATTAGATGCAGAGATTTTTGGAGAGGAAGCTTTGTACAAGTTTCTTTTGTAATTGGATCTTAGAATTAGTTATCTTAATCTCATCTTTGCTTTCTGCAGTTGAAGTTAGAAAATCTTTACACCTAAGACTGGGTTTACCTTTTGATCGTCCTCTTCTAAGAATTGCCAACGCTCTGGATTTCTCTACATTGAGGGATGGTGTAAGGAGTGACGAAACACGGAAAGGTAACCTCATTTTCCATTGAATATGCAAACCCATTTGTCAGTTGCAAGGCTCTTATTCCCCTATGTTTCATCTCCAAAAAGAAACGTTTTCTTATTCTTTGGTTTTTTTTGTCGATATTAACTCGTTTGATTCATTTCTATGGTTGTATCAGGTTCTACTTTGCTTAAAGATGTACATATCGGGATTCCAAGCAGCGGGGGTTGGTGGCTGCTCTTGTTTCTTTGTTTATATCCTTTCCCTGCCTCTGATCAGTGGAATTTTGTTTGATACTGTTACGTCTTTATGCAGTTTCTGGGGGCAGTGTGTCTTTGTTGCAAGGCTCTTATGAATACCATCATTATCTACAAGATGCCTTCAATGACTCGGTAATGAGCGAGATCCTATACCTCGTATTTGTAATATCTTGTCGAGTATACATGTTAAGCCGCGGTTAGGTTGAATTTCATAATGATCGGATTAAAACTGTCTAATAATTTTTTGCAGGAGTGCCCATCTATGCCCTCTGATTTCAGTTTTCTTAAGCGTTGTTTTGTTATCTTGCTAGGGTTGGGGTTGTGCTTATCGCTCTCTACAGACGATTATTTCATGGTTCCGACTCCAACACTATACATCCGTAGAAGTTCCATCGCATAGGTAAATAAATTTACCTGTATAGGATTTGCTTGGTATCGATTACTTGTTTCGCTGACGCTACTTATCAGCATCGTATAATTTCATCTGACAAGACAAGTGATATTAGGGAAATACAGCAGTCACTTGTAGAGATTGGTGATAAAGATCCCTCTTTCATTGGGTCGCGGGAATGGATTGGTGCCATCGAGTTGAGCTTTGTTCTGGACAAGCTTTTGGGTGTAAGTATCATCAATGTGGTTTACGGATTTCTCGAATGTAATGCACACGAGTTTAACAGGGTTTGGTTTCTGTACTGAACAGGTTAGTTGCAAAGTTATGAATGTCAGATCTGGAGCTGAGCTTCCCGAAAAATGTCGAGAGCTGGCCTTGCACTTTGAGACTCAAGGAACGCCTATTATGATCGGTTAGCTCCCTCCCGTAAATTTGATTTTTCTCTGGATTAAAGATGGCATGGAAATTTTGCAGAAGTAGGTCAAGAAACACATTGAAAAACTCTCTTATGATTTGATATATGAACGTAGGTGGTGGAGTTCTTGCATATACCCTCTTGGGAGTTGATTACAATGAAGCAAGCGGAGATTGCGCGTTTCTAATTCTCGATCCCCACTACACAGGCAGTGACGAACACAAGAAAATTGTGAGTGGCGGATGGTGCGGGTGGAAAAAGGCTGTCGATAGCAAGGGAAAGAGTTTCTTTCTGCACGATAAGTTCTATAATCTTTTGCTTCCACAGAGGCCTAACATGGTTTGATCTATCACTATCATCATCAAATCTATACACCCTGTTATGAAATGTAGCATTAAATTCAGCAGCAACAGTGCATTTCAATCGGCCGATATAATTTTAGAATTCTTTAACTCTTCTAAATTTGGCCTGAAGTTTCAGATGTTAATGAGTAATAAAGGGAGGCGATTAAATTTTAGCACTAATTTTGAAATTATGCTAATCATGTCTAATATCTTTCGTGTTCTGCAAGAAAAATACCAAAAAAGCGACATTGATATGAAATTGAAATTCTAACCCATCAACAAGTGCAGATATTACAACTTTGCAGCCGCAGCGGTGGCAGCCGCAGCAGAAGCAACCTGATCATGGTGAGAAACTTCGTCATACACTCCGGTCTCCTCATTGTATGAGTACCAAACCCCAGATGCAGCGGAGCAATAGAGCCCTGTAGACGGATCATAATAGTACCCCAAACTGCTGCTATAATAGTACCCCGAATTCTCATCAAACACATAATCATTCTGCCCTTCGGACGAACCGACTCCTCCTCCTCCGTTAGAATCCGACGGTCTAGCAGCAGCATTAGCATCTTCATCATCATCTTCACCAAACATATCATATCCATCTCCAGCAGTTTCACCACCATTGTTATCATTAGCAACTGGCGCGGCCGGGATGCCTTCGAGTCTTGCCCTAGCTAAAGTCTCATACCCCTGAGCCTCCCGCTCGAAAATCTCTTTCTTCTCATGATTCACATCATACTCCCCATGCTTGTCCATCAGTGTCACAGCATCCTCAGTCAGCTGATCGAAAATCCTCTTCGTCTCCGGCGACATCTTCACCTTCTTGTCCCCCTTCAACCTCCTCAGAGCCTGCAACACCGTTTCGCCTTCCTCGAGCACATCGGCAATGCGCCTCTTAATCTTCCCAATATCTTCATCTTCCGGTGGCAAATCCTCCGTATCATCTTCGACTTTCGGTTTCGGAACATGTAACTGCGTAACTCCAGCTTCAACGCTATCGAGCCAAGCATCCTTCACTCGATTTCCCTCAGCATACTCGACGAAATTCCCGTCGGCATCGAAATACCCCTCTTTCCTCTCCTTCTCCAAGTTAAAAGGCTCCATCTGAATCCCGTCCTCCACGAAATTGTCGTAATCCAATTCCTCGCCGTACGCGACTTCGGCGGCGGAGACATCGTCGCCGCCGATCCCGTCGTCACCGAAACGGCGTCGTTTCTCGCGTTCTTTGGCGGCGAAACGGGGGTCCGGAAACTCAGCCCCGATCTCGTCGTCATCCTCGTCGGCTCGGGGTATCTTCACGGGTTCGTCTTCCCGTCTCGCCTTCTTCCCCTTGGGAAACTTGACCCTCCTTTCCGCCGTGGGTCTGTCAGAATCGGAATCGGAGTCGGAGATTTCGGGGACGGGGCGCTTGCGATTGGATCGCGATGGAAGATTGGGTTCCATTGGAGAGATTGGAAGCAAATCGAATCAAGAGGGAGGTTTTTGTGATAGTATAATACTGTAATTGCTGGCCGACGTTTTTGGCGCTGAGAAAAGCTGTGGAAAATGGAGGCGGTGGTCGGGTAGGGGTTTTTGTGAGGGGATTTTTTCACATAATTTTTGGGCTACAAGATAATTTGGACACAATCCATCCATAAAAAAAAAATAATAATAATTGTTATTGGCACTCTAAAAATTTCATTCTACACTCTAAACTTTCTATATTTGAAAAGAGAAATACACACTTGTGAGAAGTGTAGAATGAGATTTTTGAAGTGTTAATAACAATTCCTAAAAATTAAAAAAAGAAAGAAAGAAGATTTTGCTATTTTAGTTTATTTAATTTTGAAAATAAAATAAATTTTTAGAGATGGCTACAACGGTATCTACTACCACCCAGTGATCGGTTTTTATGCAAGATTTAACTATCAAAAATATTTATTAGATTCTTATATGCAAGATTAACAATTAATTTTTCAAATTATTCAGTTGTAAATAACATAAAAGAAAAAAAAAATCATTTAAGGACGACGGTTAATGTCGAGGTTTCCGTTGATAAGAATGGTCGGTGATGGAATGAGATACGCCGGAAGAGACGAGGGTTGCTGGCTGCGGGTCTCAAGAATTCTCTCTTTCAGATTTTTTTTTTATTTTTTAAAATTGATTTTGTTTTTTTTTTAATAAGAAAATGAAAAATGATTTAGCACTGTTCCGAGTCGACAATAGGGGGAAGAGGTCTATTCTATTGATTCTCCATCCTGTGCGAGGACTTTTTCGAGTGCCAATATTGAAAATTTTGGGTAAAAATGGTGTGGATGGGTGTCCAAATTACATCAATGGGTAAAAATGGTGTGGTTGGATGCCCGAAAAACGTTATCCAAAATGGGATTTTAACTTGTGAGCCTAAATGTCAGCATCTCATCTCCTTCTGCAATTGACCCAAACACAAAACGCACTGTAGGGACCTCATTTCCCGGCAGATAGTGCCACATTGGAATTGACCAACTCTCTCCTCTCCTATGTGCAAATTAACCGTTGATTTTTCATTAGATTTATTTAACTACGGTAAGGATTCATTATATTTTTTTTATGCAAGATTGACTAGAGTTTCAAACCTCATTGAGCCAGGCTGACCGGTCCCAAACTACAGCCGGGCTAACCCACTTTAGCCCGCCTATGGGCCGCGGACTAAATGATGACCCTCGAACCATGACAAGCTGCATTAAAAGAACCCATGAGTCAGTCAATCAAAAGACACAAGGCAAAACTGTCCTCCTACAAACTAGTGATAACTTTCACCAAATACAAGAAATTGCTTTCAATATCGTGCTTACCTCCAGCAAAGTGACGACAGCCAACACGGTGTGAAGTGCTCAGCTGAAGCAATGTGTGCGAAGTGTCACCAAAATTTGCTTACTAAACTTGTTTATCTTACCTAACTTGTTCATCAAGTTTGTTCACGAAATGATATTGCTTGTGTAGAGTTACTATAACACCTAACGTCAAGAGGTAAATTTCTTGGAAACAAGGATAAACGTGAATAGAACAAAACGACAAAAAAGGGCAGATTCGTATTTCCCTAACTGAAACCCTACCCGGTTAGACCGGGGCCGGGTGGAAGCAAAAGACGGGAGCAAAACAGTCCATGCTGGCTTTAGCGCGTAGGCCACGTGGACGGCCCTATCGCTCTCCCCCCAGTGATGACGTGCACTTGTAACCGTAGCCTCCCTATAAAAGCCTCCGCTTCCCTACACTTCCGTTCTCATCCACTTTCTCTCTCTCTCTCTCTCTCTCTCTCCTCACTTTCTCTCTCTACAAGTTGCCAACTGATTGAGACTTCACTCGTTGATTCGGATCGAACTCCGCTGGTTTCTGATTAGCCCGGACCCGCCGATCCGTCAGATCGTCGTCGGTCGTTCCTGGACTCGCACTTCTTCTGCAGTTTCGGCGCTTCCAGTGGGACTCCGGAGCTCCGAGATTTGGATATCCGATTGCTTCTCCTGTTCTTGGCTCGAGATCCGGGCCAAGCACAGAAGAAACGGATTCGCCGCTCTTCCGACTTCGTATACAGAGGTAATTTTGAAACTTTTGTTCGCGCGAATGGATTATTTCTTGCTGTGTACGTCGGTGGTGTTTAGATGCTGAGAAAATACGGGGGAAATGCATGTGATATTTGGTTTGCTCATTGTTTGGGACTCGGGAAAATGAAATTGGTGCTTTACTGTGTCTGATGCTGCATTTTGCTTTGTGTATTTCTTCACTTTCCTTCAGTTTCTTGGTAGCCAAACAGTTTTTGGCTGTAATCTTGATGTGTAGATAATGGTCACTTAATCCGTTTTAATATTTGATTAGTTTAATATTGCATAGGTTAATTAGTTTGTAACATATTTGCTTAGGTAAAAGTTTAAATTAGGGATTTTTTTTTTCGTCATTAATTGGAAAGTAATATTTAGGATCGAATAACTGTATATTATTACTCGATATTAGTATTGATATAGGGATTTTATTTCAGGTAAATGGCCTCGAGTGAGGGATTCCTGACGAATGAGCAGAGGGAGAAGTTAAAAATTGCTAGCCAGAATGTGGAGGTTTTGTCGTCATCGCCGAAATCTCCTACATCTTTTCTATCTGAACACCATGTAAAAGCCCCCGCCGGTGGGAAGGCACCAACAGCTGGGATAGCCGTGAGGCATGTACGTCGGTCACACTCAGGAAAATTTGTGCGAGTAAAGAAGGGTAAGTCCCCATTCGGCACTTTTGCGATTCACCTTGATTTTATGTTAGCTTATGAAGTTTTGAAGAGAGTGGGATTGGATACATTGATTTGTAAGTAATGGTGTTTACGGTTTAATTAAGTAATTGTCCTTGTTAAATTATTGTCCCCATGATGCTCTTAAACAATTTTGGTGCATGTATCAGTTGAGTTTTTAACTTTTTTTTAGGCCAATGATTGCACTTTAGTTTTACATGGTCGAAGACTTGATGTTGTACATTAGTTCATCTTTGGGTCAATCGTAAAGTTTCTATCTAGCTCTACCACTTTTAATTTTTTATTTGATGTTGTTCAGTTGTGCTGAATTGACGATATTGTCAGTGGTTGTTAAAATTAGCTCTCTCTGGTATTTTTATTAGTTGACTTGATTTTTCGTCTATGTCTGATGGTAACAGAGGGAGGCGGTGGAAAGGGTACGTGGGGAAAACTGCTTGACACTGACGGTGTACCCACTCTTGATCGTAATGACCCTAACTACGACAGTGGCGAGGTAATACGTTTTTAAGTTTAGTTTCAATATATTCCCTACATGTATTATTTTGTGTACTCTGATTAGGTGAATTAAAAATTTCTAATTTAAATACTCTGGTCTCACCAGGAACCATATCGACTTGTTGAGTCAACTGTTACAGATCCCTTGGATGAATACAAGAAAGCTGTCGTTTCCATAATTGAGGAATATTTCAGCACTGGTGATGTGGCAGTGGCAGCATCTGACCTCAAAGAACTAGGCTCAAGTCAATATCATTCTTACTTCATTAAGCGACTTATTTCCATTGCCTTGGATAGGCATGATAAGGAGAAGGAAATGGCTTCGGTTTTGCTTTCATCTTTGTATGCCGATGTCATTAGCCCTCCCCAGATTAAAGATGGATTTTTCATCCTTCTTGAATCTGCTGATGACCTTGCAGTGGACATATT